CTACCACGCGTGGTTCTATTGTGGCAAATGCTGATTTATGCTTGTCAAAGGATGTTCGTGATGCGACAGGGACTCGAGCCCCAAATCTTGCGATCGTTTGACCGAAGATCTATCCACTAGCCAACGACACCTCTATATACATCAGAATTTCGATACGGAAACATATAGCCTCACTCTTTGTAATATATATGATAACAAATAATCATAAAGGCCCTTATATAAAAAGATGGTTACACAAGGGTATTTATTTTAAAGGAAGGGAGTTGTATTGACACTACTTCAGAGTTACGAATACCACCATCTGCTGCCCACAATGGCCCGACGTTTTGACAGCCATGTCCCACAATGCATCACCAATTGCAGGACGCGCGTGTGATGGTGTTTTGAAACAGGGACCGGAAATCGCTCTATGTACGCCCTCATCGAAAGGTGACGCAATAGAAAATACATTACAGCAGCGGTATAGTACCATATGCCTTTAAGTCATCATATTCACTACAAGTTTCCTGCTGGCATGGCTGTCGGTTAGATAGCGTATTTCGAAGAGAGCTCTCGAGTTTTTTAAATAATTCCTCGTGTCTGATTGCAGACGAGGGCAAGGCTTTGGGCGGTCATTTTTCATCTTACACTCATATCATGTTCTCTCCTTTCAAATGCCTCCCATCCATCTAGTCATCTTTCATACCTCTACTTTAATCACCAGGAAAATGATACCATCCACCCCCCTCGAAGACGTCATACGGCGGCTTGTGCCGTAATCCTAGACGTCGTGGTCACGCTGACGACAATTTTTTTTTTTGTTTTTTTTTGTTTTTGTTTTTACTTCATTCCACTTCAATATACTTTGCCGCGCTTTTGCTGATTAGTGTGTTAGAGCACATCCTACGGACAACAAACATCAAGAAGTACATATCCATCACGATAATGAGTCGGGGAAGGGGTATGGTATTGCCTGGTCCACCTGAGGCTCAGAGAGGAAGAATCAGAAGGCAAAAAACGATAGACAGGAAAAAAAAAAAAGAAAATTGAAGAAGAAGAAGTAGTATTAGCAAGAAGAAGAAGCATTTAGGAGAAGAAGAAGAAGGATACGGAGAGGAAAAAGAAGAGGGGAGGAGTTGGAGGAGAAGAATAAGAATAAGAAGAGGGAAAAGGGGAAATAAAAAGACGGAGAAATGAAGAAAAGGAGAGGAAAAAAGTTAGGAGAAAGATGACACAGAAGAAACGGAAGAGACAGGAGAAGAAGCAGAAGAAGAAGAAGAAGAAGAAAGAGAAAGAAAAGGAAGAGGAACGATGAAGAAGAAGAAAAACCCATTTTAAGTGTACGTTTTTAGGTCTTCTTACAATCCCTTCTCTACTTCTTCTACTTTATTACATAAAAGCATACGGTTCCCCACTTGCTCCTGGGTTACTTAATACTTTATTATATCGATATCATTAATTCGCCGTAGTCGGTACGCGATAGATCGCGATAGCGTGTTTCACCTCCGGCAGTTTGGATCAAAAACCGAAACAAATCCGGCGATACAATATGCTTCCTTCTAAAAAAAATGACGTTACACAACTTTTGCTATTGCAGACACTGGAAACTGTTCCTGTTTGATGCGGAATATACTGATAGCTGTGCATTAGATTTACATCGTGGCCCATTATACTCCATAACATTTCATCTTTTGACGATGATCAGTGCTATTTGTATCAGTAATTTATTCTTCAATGAATGCCAATAGGATAAACATAATCGGCATTTCTCCTGCCAAATGTCCTAACGAAACATAAGATTGTTCATGTCTTATCGTGATATTGTCATTACCTACCTACAAAGATATTATTTAGAAGTATCTGTTTGTCTTTATATCTGCAAAGACATTCTTACTTCAAAGGCTTACAGACACAATTTAATAATTTCAACTCAAGCCGCAAGCTTTCGTACTCCCCATCTGATTCATTCTCTCTCTCTCTCTCTCTCTCTCTCTCTCTCTCTCTTTCTCTCTCCATCTATCTCTTCCACTCTATCTCTCTCCCCCTCTCATTTGCCCCTTCTTGTCTCTCCAGTTGCGATGTCTTCATATCCCATGTCCCAGTTACTTTGAACCTTCTCTCCGTCTCACTCAAGTCAAAAAAATCACTTATATCAGTAAAAGACCAACCGAGCCTATGGCATATAAATGAACATTATTTTGGTCATGTCGACTTCCGAATTGATATTTTAAGAGAGATGACGGATAATGGATAAGCTAAATGTTAAAGGTACTAGAAGAGCCCCTTTTTTTAATATGGTGTTAATACGCCCAAAACATTTTTTCATATGTAAATAAACATTGCAAATTTCTTATTTGTGTGTATCAAACGGATTTCCTAGATGGAAAAAATACATATATTTGTCATATACTACAACAGAATATAGCTGGCTTCAAACCTTCCAATCGATTATGTTATAAATCAATTTCTTTCTTAGTTGAATACCTTACACAATTTTAAAATATAGAAGCCTTCAAACTTCCGGCCTCTTCTCTTCTAAAGTCATACAGCAACGAACGACTTGAGAAAACTGGACAATAGAAATGTTACATCGTTAAGATCAATACCTTTATCTCTGCAAAACTCACTCTTTAATATAGGTCGAGAAAATTAAGTTGCTCTTACAAAACATTTATTTTTTTATCATATACCATACGTCCGTTCGAACAGGTGGTGCTCATTAGCGATAGGCAGAATCATGCTATCCATTTGCAGACCAACAATGTCCCCTGGGTGGTAGGATGAGAAATTGCAGGAATGATATCGGATCCCCCAATCCTGTAAGCAACTGTCATCGCCTCAATCTCTGACGAACCTTTATACCCCACCGCCTTCGAGGGGTGTCGAAGTATTCAGGATTGGAGAAAAGGGGGCGAGGTGGTAATCATCTTTATAATTCAATTAAATCCAAATTATATTGATTAAAATCCAAAGAAATTTGCTCAAGAGGTCGAATTTGTCGTGGGGGGGGGGGGGGGGGTATTAAAATCTTGCCAAAATTTTAACTTTCTAGTTTCTAGATTGTACGAGACCGCGAAGCTAGCGATATAAATGTCTGATATTTTCTTAGGAAGAAAAATATTCCATAATCAAAATAAATTATTAAAACAAATTAAATACAAGTCAATCATCTTCATGGCCGAGTATGGGATTGCAGTTTACCGAATATAAGTATTTTTAATAATTGTACCTAGCTGAGCCCCCCCCCCCCCCCCGCGCCGCCTCGTACGCCTATGAACACATCGATTGAAATAATATACTTAATTCTGTAATAAGTCTGATTACATAAAATGAACTCCGTTCTTTATTTTGATATACATAATTCATTTTAATCATTATGATAAAAATAGGGGGTCAACTGCCCCTGCACCCTCCCTCCCAGTATCTCCGTCGTCCTACCCGCATTAATCGATTAGGAAACTGGGCAAGTGTAATCAAAAGACCAAAGGGCTGATGAATGAAAACTAGGAAGATATCAGTACGGTCTTCTGAGGTCATTAGTAGTTAGATGATGAATTGGATGATCATTTCTATCGCTGAAATGTTTGTCCTTACAAAGTGACCGGAAAAGAAGTGACCCAATGAATAACGAGTCTTGTTCTTGTGCGTATCAAATCACTGACAAATTGCCCATCCTTCATTTTGCGCAGGAAATCGCTGTAAATCTTTTGTGGATGTTCTTGAATAATTTAATGACCTGTCTCTGTGTAATTTAAACGAAAGATAATGGGAATCTCTTGTTACTAAGCAACGCAGCTAGTATTACAAGCACGGTGTATTATTAAAATTGACCGAAAATTGACTCTAGTATGCTCTTATTTATGTAGGCCTTTGTACATTGGAAGTAAAGAACAATAATATGACTATGATATAATGAATAAGCATCCCAGACTTCGATTTAATGTGGCGATTTGTAATATAGACTGCGTTATAAAATATATATTCCCTTACATCACACATGGAGAGTAAAAACAAATATGAACAAAATAAAATGTGACGTAGTGATTTCTAAAGGAGACTAAATAATAAAATCAAAGTAATAAAGGCAAAACAATTGTATAATGCTCAATGATGAAACAAATCTGTGACTTCATGATTTCTAACGAATAATAAGTTGTTATAGGAATGTTTCTCATATCTAAAGGCTTATCATACATGAACAGACTTTAACAGAAGCAATTACATAATGATTTCGAACGAAGACGAGGTTACAAAACAAGATTCTCGATTTCTCCTTCAATTAAGCATCACAAGAAAAGGACATCCCAACAGGATGGTGAAACTAAAATAGGTCACGAGTCATGCCCTTGGTTTAAAACTGTGAAGATGATGGGAGCAAGTGGCGCATGAATATTACGGTGTCGTTCGCAATCAGAAATTACCGCTCCCAGTGAGTGTCGGGAATCGCGTGTGCTAGGATACCGGAGGCGGTACAAAAGACACGCGAACGTGATCATACTACCATGTTCCCCATAGACCTAGCTCATTCATGTTACTCACGGACATCAGCCCAATGCGAAACGAAGCATGGTTGTCGTTTTCTTTACTTATTAGACCGCCATTTTTTGTTATGTTGCCGATCAGGCCCCAGTGGAATTGCCGGATAATCATCTCCGAGCCCCTCCAATATCTGATCATAAAGGTGCCCTTGATTCAATGAACTTATGAGTGGATAATGGATCTAACACCCACACTTGTGGTAATTGTACGTGCGTTAATATACTTCCGGAAAAAACAATGAAGTAATTTGCAAAATGCGAAGTAAATGACACTGTATCCAACAGTACCTTCATTCAATAATGTAATTGTGAAAAAAGGAAATGAAACGCGTAAATCAAACGTGTAAATCATTTTTACTACTTATTTAGTGTTGTGGCCTATTATTTAGTGTTTTGGTCGGTAAATGGCTTTTAGATGCGCAACTTCGGTTAGCTTGCTTTGCTATCATTTCACCCTTCCATTTCACCCCTGCATGCCCTCACCTCCCTTCTGCATGTAAGCTATCATCTTTCCTCTTCTATATCCTACCTTTCATTCTACCTCTCTGCTGCCGTTTGTACTCTGGCAACTAACATCTATGCCCATGAGTCCATAATCGCCTCTCTACTAGCAACTCAAACTCCCACCTCCACGCTGGTGCCGGCTGGATAACTCGGGTCCGCTTTGTGGCCTGGGGAAACCGACGGGGGATGAGTCTGGGAAGGAAAACCCTAGCGTGAAACCAGTAAGAGTTCTCCTCTTGCTTTATCAGTGAATTAATTCACAATGTCAATAGAGAAGGAAAACTCATGACAGCTTTTAGAACTAAACCATACTGTAGGAGTTGCAACCACAGATATTATAAGCAAATGAAAAACTATGATGGCACAACCTAACAACACTAGGGTTAAAGTCCCTAACACAACATGTCCTGGATCAGGCATCGATTCCTTAGAATCTCATGACGGCTTGCCCTCAAAGCCTTATGGAAGGGGTAAATCTGATGATGGTGTCTGTAAAGGACGACCATTTTTAAGATGTAGAAAGACAGTAATTGTATCAACTATGAATGTGAGAACTATTAGGGAGCAAAGAAATAGAGAAGAGCTATCAACCAATTTAACAGAGCAGAACATTGATATTTTGGGAGTACAAGAACATCGAATAGTACATAATGAGCCTATCAGATATGAGAAATTTCTAAACAACATGCTTATAACATCATCTGCAAACAGAAGTTCAGCCGGAGCTGCAATAGGAGGTGTGGGATTACTACTAAGTCCCAGTGCATATGACTCCCTAGCTAGCATGAGATCACATTCTGACCGAATACTCGTCGCAAACTTTCAAGGAAACCCTGCAACTACCGTCATTACAACTTATTGCCCAACCAACGTAGTGAACGAGGATATCATTGAAGGACACTATGACAATTTAAGAAGAGCAATTGACTCCATACCAGCACACAATGTTCTTCTTGTGGTTGGAGACTTCAATGCCAGAATTGGACCTGAGGATGCTAAATATACTTACCATGAAACAACCAACAGAAATGGAAAGTACTTAGTGGACATGGCAGTTGAAAAGAACCTAGTTATAGCAAGTGGTCAGTACTGTAAGAAGAAAGGGAAATTGTGGACCTATATTAGCCCAGGTGGAAATAAATGCCAACTGGATTATATACTAATAAGGAAAAAGTGGAGGAACAGCTTGAATAATGTCGAGGCGTATAGTACTTTTGCCAGTGTAGGATCCGACCATAGAATAGTATCTGCAAGAGTCCGTTTGAGCCTTCGAAAGAGCAAAACCTTGGCAAAAGGAAAACAGCACGATTGGAAACTTCTCAGCACTGACAACCACCTTCAGAAGCTATACAGCATTGAAGTCCGCAACAGGTTCCAGCCCCTAGAGAAGGAGGAAGAATCAGCTACCGAGAGGTATGAGCGATTCATAACAGCACATAAGGAGGCTACTGAGAAAGTTATCCCAGTGAAAAAGAAGACAAGAAAGTTGCATTTTCCCAACGATACACGTGTAATCAGTGCTAGAAATAAGATCAATAAAGCCTACATGGAGTACCAGAAAGATACAACTGATGAAAATCGGCAGATCTACAAGCAAGCCAAGCACAACCTTGAGGAAGCATACAATGTAGTTATACAAGAAGATCTTGATAGTAAACTAAAAGATGTGGAGAGAGCGCATGCCAACAGTAAACATGGGCAGAGCTGGAGACTCATAAATGACATAACCGGAAGGAAAGCATCCCCGAAAGGGCAGTTAAAAGGAGACACACAGAAAGACAGGGTCATAAACTGGTTCAACCACTTCAAGAATCTTCTTGGAAGCCCTCCTGATATAGATGATGAGGATGAAGAAATTCTGCCTATACTAGAGAGTCTGAACATCAAGACAGGGCCATTTGATCTGAAAGAATATTCAAAGGCAATAAAGTCACTAGTAGAAGGGAAGAGCTTTGGGGAAGATGGCATACCACCAGAGGTTCTAAAAAGATGTGACCTGGATGAAATCATTCTGAGTTTCTGCAACAACGCTCTGATCAATGAAGAAAAGCCCCACCAATGGTCCATACTGAACATTGTACCAATACCAAAGTCTGGAGACCTGAGCCAAGGAGGAAACTATCGAGGAATCAGTCTAAGCTCCATCGTGGCCAAAACTTTCAATAGATTGATTTTGAACAGGATCAGACCAGTACTTGATAGTCACCTGAGAACTAACCAAAATGGATTCAGAGTTGGAAGGACCACAGTGGGACATATTTTGGCACTTCGCAGGCTTATAGAAGGAGTAAAAGAAAATCAGCTCCCGGCTATTATCACATTTATTGACTTTCGCAAAGCCTTCGATACCATCCACAGAGGCAAGATGTTGAAGATCCTTACTGCATATGGCATACCGGAACAACTGGTGAATGCTATTGGCAAGATGTACGAAGACACCAAAGCAAAAGTAATATCACCTGATGGAGAGACTGACCTCTTTGAAATCATGGCTGGTGTGCTTCAAGGTGACACGCTTGCACCTTACCTATTTGTAATAGTCCTCGATTATGCCTTGCGAGCAGCTATAGACGGCCATGAAGAAGAACTTGGATTCCAACTAGAAAGAAGGAGAAGTAGGAGAGTTGGTCCGGAAATCATAACAGACCTAGATTTCGCCGATGACATAGCCCTGCTATCTGAGGAATTAGAGCAAGCCCAAAAACTCCTGAGCAGGGTGGAGACATCGGTAGGCAAGGTCGGGCTCCGGATGAATTCAGGCAAAACCAAGTTCATGTCATTCAATCACAGGGGGATCATCACTATAAAAACAAATAATGAAATTCAGTTGGAGAATGTACCTGATTTCAAGTACCTGGGAGCACTGATGGTGAGCACAGAAAAAGATGTGAAAGCTCGTAAGTCAGCAGCATGGAGAGCGTGTAGCAAGCTTGGAAGAATCTGGAAATCTACTCTTCCTAGGCAGTTCAAACAACGTCTGTTTGTTGCTACAGTTGAATCAGTGCTTCTATACGGCTGCGAAGCATGGGCAGTTACAACAAAGTTGGCAAAAGAATTAGATGGTTGCTACACCAGACTTCTTAGGACAGCATTCAACGTGCACTGGAGCCAGCATATGACCAATAAGGAGCTGTACGGGAATCTACCAAAAGTATCAGAAAAGATCAGGGAAAGAAGACTACGTTTTGCAGGCCACAGCTGTAGGAACATCAATGAACCAATATCTCAGCTTTTACTCTGGAAGCCTAAACACGGGAAGAAGAAACCTGGAAGACCTCATCTTACTTATACAGACCTACTCAAGAAGGATACGGGACTTGAACTGTCAGAGATAAAAGCAGCCATGCTGGACAGGAATGTGTGGATGGCCATCACAGCTCGGGCAGTTGACCCGACTTAAGCAAAAAAAAGCAAAAAAAAGTAAGCAAAGGCCTACCATATTTTAGAGATCAAAATGTAATTGGAATAAATACGCAAACAGCAGGCCCTTATGTTTATGTTGACCATTCACTGTTTTATATGGCATCTGCCCTGGCGTCAACATTGTATCGCGGTCTATTTCCTGCACTAATCGAATTCCCAACTACAAGCCTGGTCCTAAGACTATACCTAACTTCCGCGCAATCCAAATCCCAATCCTAACCTAACATCCAATCGCAGCCTTTACCCTCACCCCGGTGTATATCTCTGACAATTAAGATGTACCTGGTGCAATGTCCCTTCATGAGGCAAAAGTAGAATCAATACCTTAAGAATTAGAAAATTTCATAAACAAGTCGTTAGGCTCTTACACGAGGGGTGCACGGGATTACCCCTCATGTACCCCAAATCTACGTCACCAGATACTTCCAATTGGATGCCTTTAGCTGGAGGGGCCGGGAAGGCATCTCGGTACCCCATCGGTGCGCCCTGACAACATCCGGTTGCTATAGGTGATCAGATGAAGACGGAAGGAGATATCGAGTGTGCCGCTGAAGAGGGTTAACCTACCTACCTAATAGTAGTAGCAGGACCCCGGTCACACCGACGAGCCCGACAGCAGATCGACACCAGGCCAACAACAAAAAATGACATTACTGCCAATGGCAAAGAATCAGTCGGTTTGGTATCGATATTGAGTCAGTTTGGAGGTGTGACCGAGGTATCACTCACGCCAACGAAACCGACACAAGAGCCCGTTACACAATGGTTAGTAATGAATTGCAAAATGTTAATGGCCAATCAAGATAATCGTTGCATGCATGTATTGTTAAAAAAGTTGACCATTAACCAATCAGAGTCGTCGTTTTGAATTTGCCATTGATCGCAAACTTTTGTTTTACGGGGCCCAGTCTGACAACAGATTTCCAAATATACATGTAAATACAAAATAAGCTGGAAGCATTGGAGCAAATTGTATTATCATACGTGTGTGAAGTCCTATATACCCATTATGCGTGCATAACTTTCTCTTTTATGTTTTTTTAAAGCACGGTTCAGTCAAATTCGTGTAATTTGGTCATTAAACAGATTGGAATTAAATGAATTAAGCAATGAGTACATAACCAATTTTTCCCAAACAACGCATAGGCCTACGCAGTTTCTTGTACAATGTAATCACGTGACTAAACCTCAACCTTATTTTGAAAGGAAATGTTCCGTCGAATATCAAGACAAAAGCGTTTCATCTCTCTCTCTCTCACAAAAGCACCTGTCGCTTTTTATGTGTTTACGAATCCATTTCCTAGTCCTTATACTCACAGTATCATGATGCACTGCGTCTTTATTATTTCCTGAGTATCGATGAACTGAGTGCATTTATATGATCATTTTTTATGATGGATTATTTTGCCTTCGAATGATTTTATGGAAGTCATCCTTCTTCCCTGAATAACGATATATAGCGACTTATAACATTGACATGATGGATTAAAATGTTTTTAGTGACTTCCTAAAAAGGGGAAGAGCAAGATGGATGCAACATCCTTCCAATCTGTTACAATATTTCCGACGTGCAGCAATGGC